ATCGAACTCAGGACTTTGCACTTTCAAGGCAGGCCCCAGCCCCATATACACATAGATTAACATCCAGAAACACAGGAGCCATCCACAAAGTATGAGACTCAAAGGAAGAACCAGATAGCTGAAGCTTAAATAGCACTTTGAGTTACAGGGAAAAGAAACAGGCACTTGAGGCTGTTGGAAGGAGGTGGGATGCAAGCTATGGAAGAAGAGGGGATAAGATGTGCCTGGTAGAGGTTGTGTTATTTTGCAGATCAAGCTTCCAAGGTATCTAAGTCGTTAGAAGGCCACCTGCGGTCCTCTCTGTCTGGGCCAGGTGTCAGACCCATAAGCTCTCCCTCCTGTGAAAAGATCTTTCCTAGGCAGGTGGCAGGATCAGACAGAAAAGCCTCTGCCAGTGTCCTCTGTTTACTAAGTGTACATTTCTTTTTGCAGAAACAGCCTTTCAGAGCCCTTCTGTGGTGTCTACACCATCTCCAAATAGTCACTTGGATTTAGGCTAAAGAAGTAAATTGGAGAGGGAGGATTCTTTGGCCTCCCTCATCCACCTGCTGTCTCCCACAGGTTACCCCCAGTACCTGGTGGTGGGGAACCATCTGTCAGGGGAGCACCACCTGAAGATCCTGCGGGCAGAGCTGCAGGATGATGCTGTGTATGAGTGCCAGGCCATCCAGGCTGCCATCCGGTCCCGGCCTGCACGTCTCACTGTGCTAGGTAAGAGCCATCACATGCGAACGAAAGATGCTGTGGGAAACACCAAAGGCTCAGCTCTGGGGTCCTTCCAGCCAGGTTGTGGGAGGGGATTCCTGCTAGGCATTATCTCATCAGCCTCCAGCCACTGTTCCCCCTCTCCCCACCCACAGCGGACAAGAGAGGGCTCCTGGCCTCGGAATCCCAAGGCCAAGGCCAACCTATGACTGTCCAACCTCAGTGTGGGTAACTGTGCCTTAGGGAGCTAAGGAGGATTCCTGGGTGATCTACTCATGTGATGCAGGCCAGATCGCTGTCCACGTCCACTGCAAAACCAGCCCCAACCTGATTTTGGTGTCCACGAGGGATTACCAGTGACCTGTGTTCCTTCCCTACCCCTTCTCCCTGGGAATCCTGGTTCTCCTGTCCTGAGAAAATCCATTTCAGGCCTCTTTCCAAGTTATACTTTTTCTCCAGGGTCTTTTGCTCAGTGTCCCCTCTCCTTCACTCAGCAGACCTGCCTGAAGAATGGGCTTGCTTGGTGACCCCACAAACTGCCTATCTCTGATGAAAAGTTCAGCCCCCATTGTCTCCCTCCTCTGGCCAGATGTTCTAGAGACTCAGGGCTGCAGGGAAGCAGCCTGGAACAAGAGTAATAATAGCTCCATTTGCACAGTGGTTTATAGCAACTGTCGAAGCTCTCCAATACACATCACCTCAGCTCTTTCTGTGCTATTCTGGGAACCAAGGGCTGTTATCCCAGGTGAGAAACTGAGGCTCTGAGAAGCAGAGGGTCTAGCCCAGGGTCTCCGGGCCAGGACTTCTCATAGAGAAGCCTCTGCCAGGCACATATGGATGGGGCTGGGGCAGCCAGAAGAGGGAAGCCCGGCTGCTGGTCTCTTCTTGGCAGCTGCTGCAGAGGCTTGACGACAGGTCGGCAGCTGGGGCGCTGCCTCGTGGTCTGTAGATAAGGCTCATGGCAGCTCAGAAATGAAATATTTAAGAGTATGTCAGGTACTCTTCAGATCTACATGGCCAGACACACCAGGGCAGGAACTCTCAAGCAGGGCAGCAGACGAGACCCTGAGGACCACTTACTAGATCAGAGCTGGGAATCTTGAGATGGGGAGGGTTGGCAGGGCCAACCTCCCAGGCCTATTCTACCTTTGGAGTCTCTTGTGGTCTTCAAAGAAAGAGATTGAAAAATAAACCATCTGGCAGGTCAAAGTCTGGGCAACCTGGCTGCAGGCAGCCTCTGGAGGAGCAGCCAGGGATGCTCGAGGGAGGACAGCCATTCTCCTTCCTCCAAGGAAAATGGCTAACTTGGAAATGGGTCCACAGTTTGGTGTAGGATTGATGGAGGAGGCAGCAGGACTTAGGACTTCATCTATTTTTCTGATTTGGGGGTTTGCAAAATGCCAGAACAGATTCCCTAAGCAGAGCTACAGGGTCTTCATCTTCAAAGACAGTTCAGCCTCCCACACTCAGAGGTCTGCCTCTGCTCCCTTGCCTACTAGAAAGGACCAGAGAGCCCTAGAAAGAGCAGAACCTGAGCACTGCCCAGTCTGACTTCACTCAGGATCTACAGTAGATGGAGACTCATCTTCTCCTTAGGGTGCACCAACCTTGCCAGCTAAGTATAGCCATTTACTTTCTCTTCTCTATCACAGTAACCCACAATGTCGAACACATTTAAAGTCCAAATTCTTCTGTGTGTTTTGCAGATATGGAAATAGAGAACCTTAGAGAGGCAAATACACTCAAAGAATATCACACAGCCTAATTAACATTTAAAATGAACTCCACATTTCCCAACTCCAGACCAATGCTCTTTGCCACCTCCTGGTCCCAAATGCCAGCAGAATGTCATCTATTCCACTAGTTAAGAGCCAGGCTTCGCAGAAGAGGGCCTCAGGATCCAATCTGAAGAGAGCTGATTTTGTCTTGAGTCACATCTCCCTCTGCACTGGTCTGGCCTGGCACTGCCCTCTGGACATGGAGCTGGGTTTGTTTGAGGGAGGCATTCCTGCAAGTCCGGAGACCAGCTAAAGGAGTGCTGATTATACAGAGCCCAGAGGGTTCCCTTGGTAGATTTCCTGAGAGCCAGCAAGGGAGGCTGAGTGCCTTCTCCAAAAACACCATTCATCCTGAGAAAACTAAAACCCCAGCAAAAGAAAAAAGAGCTGCCCTGGGATCTGCCAGCAGTCCTCCCTAACTCCTTGGGGTAGACTTCTTGTCCCCACCCCTCAGTCACGCACCAGTCCTACGAATCCTTCCCTGCTCCTGGTCCTGCAGGGCTCTGCCTGGCTAAATTTCTCCAGGTGCATACCTTGTGCCCTGAAGAGAGGCCCTGCAAGCAGAAGCCAACCCACTCCACTGGAAAGAGAGCCCCAGTCCTGTGACAGTGGAGGGCAGCACAGCTGCTGCACAAGGGGGACAGAGGTGTTTGTGCACTGTGGTCCAGCTGGCTTCTTTCCCAAGACCTCATCTGCTTTTCTGTGACATCTCAGTTTGGGAAAATGTCCCAGCTGGTTCCCTGAGGGGGCCTGTGTTCTCCCCTTCCAGGAATGAGAGAGCTTCCTAATTTAGTCTGTATTTGCCTGAGATAGATTTTTAATTAAATAAAGTAAGAGCCTGATTAGAACCTGCAGAAGATGTGAGCACAAAATCAGATGGTATCCCGGCAAAATTGCAAAGCAAACACTTTGACTAGAACAGAGGGAAGCCCCCAGGGGTCTTCCATCAAAGCACAAAGTGAGGAGGGTAAATACGAGAGATTATATAGCCAACAGATGTGCATTGTTAAAATATGCATCTTTCGGCAGCGTGCTTGGAAAAGCCAGAGGGCCAGTTTGCAGGGCCTGTCAGGCTCCAGGGAGGGTATGGGGACTAGCCCGACAGCTAAGCTTCGAGTCACAGACACATTAATTAGCGTTGTGTTTCCAGCTCTCAGATGCAATCAGGCAAGGAGCAACTTTGAGCTGAGCATTTGCTACTTGGGGAGGCAGAGAGAGGGAGCTAGAAAACAAGGGAAAGAGGGGGAAGGGGTCGGGCCTGCCCTGCTGAGAGCAGGAAGACAGGGAACCCCAGTCGGCTTTGAGCTGCCAGGTCGACTGGCGTTTTTCCACTTCCAGATCAACTAGGGAGTGTTGGTATCACAGAAAGAGCTGCAGACTTAGAGGCAAGAGTCTTGATCCCACCACTATCCAGTGTGTGATCCTGATCCCGTCACTCATCCTCTTCTGGTTTTGGTTTCTCTGCCTGTAAAATGAAAGATGATGATTTTTTTTTAATTAAAAAAAAAATACCTAAGATCTGTCCAGCTCCCAAACAGCCGTACTTCCAGTCGGGAGAGCAACATGCTGCATCAACTATTTCAGGAAAATGGGTCATCTCCCACTGGAGACAAGATGTGTGTGGGGCCTGAGGCATAGAAGGTAATTGGCTAGGATAGTTTAGACCCTGTCTCAGCCATAGGCTAGGAAATGGGGCCTCTCCAAGTCCCGTCCACCTCTGGGATTCTGGACTTGACTTTGTACCTTAGCCCCCCACCTCCCCTTATACCCACCTTCCTTGTGTACTTAGCCATCTCTGTGGAGACTTAGCTCACATGGATGACTTAGGACCCTCACATAGATGTGCGGAGCTATAGGAAGTGTCCTGTCTAAGAGGTAGAATGCCCTCATGCAGCTGTGAGACCTTGAACGATGTCATTAGGTTCAGAACCATTCTCTTGCATTTAATGTTATAACCAGAATATGACACAGAAGAGATACTCAATAATATTTGTTTGGCTTTTTAAAACAGTGAATTAATGAATGCAGTTTCCAGTTTTTCATCTATAAATGGAAATACTAAAAATATCAATCTCAGAATTGTGCACACATGTGCATGCTCTATAAACAATAAAGTGTCATGCACTTTAAAGATGTACCCACACACATATGTGCACATGGGGACTGCATGCATACTTTTCCCATGTGCAGGACCACAGGCCTGAAAAATATCTAACCTGTCACAGGTCAGTACAGTAAGGGTGGCATTGCATTTGACGTTTCCAACTGCCCAAAGACTTAGGAAACAAAGATTTGGGGAACTCTGAGCAGGGAGAAAATGGATGCCAAGGATTTGATTGATCAACAAATATTTACTGAGTGCCTACAATGTGCTGGGCATTGATCTAGACACTTGGGATTCATCAGTAAGTAAAAGACAAAACTATCCTTGCCCTGGCAGAGCTTTTGTTCTAGCAGAGAGTGAGCTACCTGGTAAATGATAAACAGGTTAAACAAAGTGTATCTTTAGGATATCACTGAATGTTGATAGTTATAGATGCTATGGAAAGAAAGAGTAGACCAGCGGGGTTAAGGGACAGTTGTTAGGGAAGGAGGTGTCAGATGTCAGATTAATTATTCAAAAGGACATTTTCCCAGTCTTCCTCCCCATTTCCCTCTTCTTCCTGGCACATTCTAATATTAACTCTGCTATCCTGTGGTTCCTGTTTGAAATAAAACATCCTAAATCAACATAAATTATTTAAGATGGAGACTAGGTCAATTAAAATGAAGAAGACATCTTTTACAGTGGTGCCACACCCCAGATCCTGAGGCAAACAGATAAGCCTGACCTGTCTGTGTCCTGAACTTGCTCTCCTATGCCCACAGGATGGACAGCACATCCCGGTTCCCCATCCTCAGTGGTCTAGGTTGATGGGTCCAGAGAGGAGCACTGAATAATTCAGACACATCCAGCAAGGAAAGGCAGAGCTGAAACAGAGCTGGAGGATGCTAGCTTCCAAATGGTTCTTGCAGAAACTGCTTGTGAGAACCCTTCCACCATTGTCCTGACATCAAAAAACAAGTCGGTAAGGGTGAGCCAAGCAGCTAGTCAGGGTTAGAGTGTCTGCAGAACAGAGCCCAAGCTCCTGGCCCTAGCACGTGAGGTCTCCCGAGGCCTGCCATCTGCCCTCTCTCTAGCCAGGGCCCAGCCCCACCTGCTCCATCACAGCTTCCTCCACTCACAGCCTCTGGGCCCTTTTCCACCCTGCACTTCTGCCAGAATGCCCTTCTCACCTTTATGCCACCTGTTGAGAGTTACCTTAGACATCACCTCCTTAAGGATGACCTCCTAGAAGTCCACATGGCCTCTATTTCCCTCTCTGTCATTTTTTTCCTTCTATAAGTATGGTAATCAAAACACTCAACATGTTATATTGACAGTAACTGCTACCTGTTTCTCCCACTGGGTCTCTTGTGGTGGTGGAGGGGTATGCATCTGGCATACTTTATGCCTAGTTCAGGAGCACACATGAGGTATGCAGTGAATATTTGTCCAGTAATTGAAGCAACCAGGCTTGGGGACAGGTTAGGGGGAGTTAACACAAAAGCCCATTACAAAGAACAGTCCCTGGTACATAGGAAGCCCCAAATACATACGAGAGCTGTGTTATGCTGTCTTGCATTGTATTGTGTTTAGAGAGTTAGTTAGCTTTCTGTTACTATGACAAAACACCTGAAATAAACCAGCTTAAAAGGAGAAAATGTTTATTTTGGCTCATGGCTTCAGAGGTCTCAGTCTGTGCTTCCTTGGCCGTGTGGTGCAGCCATTCATCATGGCAGGAGCACACATTGGAGGTGAAGACAGAGAAAGAGGAGAAGGGCTTGGAGTCCCAGTGACCCCTTTAGGGGCACACCCCAATGACCTAACTTCCTACCCCAGCCCATGCCTCCTAAAGGCTCCACCCCCTCCCACTGGCACCACAGGCCTTCCATACATAACCTCTGGGGGACCTTGCAGCTCCGAACCATAGCAAGGAGCCAGTACAGTGCCATGGTTTGGACCCGAGACTCTGGAAACCAAGATACCTACACTTGAAACCTGGCTGTGTCATTTTACCAGCAGAGTGACCTTGGTCAAGTTGCTTAGTTCCTTTGTGCCTATTTCCTGTGTGCATGGGAGAAATAATCATACTGCCTTAATAGGGTCATTGAAAGGACTTAATGAAACAACAGGTGCAAAGCACATCTCAAAATAGTGCCTGGTATTCATCAAGACCAATAAGCATATGGCTGTTATTGTTACAGTAACTGCTTTAATATTGCTATTATTGTGCAATGTCACAAGACACCAGCCAGCAAGCCTCCTTTCCAGGACAACCGAGTCCATGTCCTAGAGAAGCTATTCCAAGCAGCAAGCAAGGCAGAAACACCAGATTCCTGCAGGCCCCTCCTGGCACACACCTGGGAAGACAAGCAGAATTGATTTCCTTATCTCCTTATTAAGCGTGTTTTGCCTGGGCCCTGGCCTGGTCTTAGGTGCTGTATCTCATTTGTGCTGTGTGCCTGTTTCCTGCCACATTCATTACCCTCCAATCACCCCCAAATAGGGGCAGCAAACAAGCCAGAGAGGGGAAATAAGAGGGAAAGGAACATCCTTATCTCTTGAAGTTCCATATGGAAGCAGGTCTGAGCAATTGTATACCTGCTCCCACACACCTCACCCCACCACCGGCTCCTTCCCTCTCCCTCCCAGCTACTCTGCCCGTCTTGGTAACCCTGACCACCCTCAGTGTTCCTATCCTTCACAGTCCTCACCACCCTCCTCCCCTCCCTTTAACTCCCTCCCTCCCAGCTTATCCCATGCTCACCTGGTTTAGCGTGGCTTGGAGACAGTAGCTGGAAGCAGATGAACAGGGCCCCTCTTCTAAATTAGAACTCCCTGGGGTGGGGGCTGGCCTCTGATGCCCACCCTGTATGCATGGGAGGAGTAATCAGACTGCCTCCGTGCTTCGAACCAGCCTGAGCAGCTGCCTACAGCAACTGCTGACAGTGGGCCTGGGAAGATGGAGGGTCTCCCTGGAGGTCTCTGTAGCTGACCTCCAGAGCTGCATCACTCTGGACCCTGCCTGCTTCTGCACTGTAAGACTATTGCCCGGACAGTGTCCCTAGCCCACTAATCTGCACATTGTCCCAGAAAGAAAAGGCCTCTCTGTCTTCCTCTCTCCACCCTTCTCCCCTTTCATCCTTTCACCCCACTAGGACCTGAGTCCCCCTCCCTAGCTGGACCATCGTCACGGAGGGAGAGGAGGTAGGAAGCAGGAGACCCACAGGGACTAAACGAGTCCCAAGCCTCCATCAAGGATGGAGATGGACCTGGAACTTCCCTCCCCTGCCCGTGCAGGTAGCAGGACAGGCAGGCTCCTCTCCAAGAGGGGGCAGACGGGATATACATCTGTACCCTCTCTGAGCCAGTGCCACCAAGGGTGATTGAATCAGACTGCAGTTGTCTAGTTGTAGCCTCTCCAGAGTTGCCTGAAAGCCTGACACTGCATATCCAAGGGCTCACTGGCATTTAGAGCTGGAAGTGGCATCCCAAGTGACAGTCCCATGGCCAGCTCCTCCAGCTCCTTTGGCTTTTACTACCAGGACAGGGCAGGGCACAGAGGTTCTTGGGAGCCCACTACACATGCAGGATGCTCAGCCTCCTGTTCAAAAGCCGAGTGGCCCTATTCTTCCCACCCTTTAGTGTTCCCACCCCATCCCAGGATGTCAGGCTCTCCAGATGGCCTCATGCAGTCACAACGTGTGTCACCACCATACACAGAGCACGGCAATTCTCCAGATGCAGGCAGGATGAAGGCCCTTGCCTCCTGCCCCAGTCCTGCCACCATGCAGCCATGCAACATGGGATAATGATGCTTCACCTCTCAGGCCTCCATTTCTCCCTGGTAAAATCAGCAGCTGGAATACGAAACAGAAATCTGCACTCTTTAACTGTGATTCTCTCATAATTGCTTATGGTTTGGGGGTTGGGCGTGAAGGGCATTGTTCCCTGAGTCCCTCTTCCCTTCTCCTGACAGCATGGATAATACGTCCTTTAGCTCTTTTAACCAAGCATGACCCTTTGAGATGCTGAGCAGGCTCAGCTACTGAACAAAGAGGAAGTGCACTCAGGCCGTGGAGATTTGCACAGTCAGGACCTTGATCGCTGATGTCCGTCATCCAACATGGAAACAACAGCTCTGGGGCTGCCCAAGAAATCCAAGGCCCTTTCCTACAACCTTTGGCGTGCAGTTGCCTTGAGGAAGCCCTCACCCACTCTATCCTTCACAGCCTCATTCCTCCGGGCTGAGTGGAGCTTCAGACAACCATCCAAGCCTTCCAAAGCACAAGCAAGAGCCCATTCCCTCCCAGTGTCTTCACTCCCAGTTGGCCATGGGCCATTTACAAGATTCTTTGTTTGTGTATCAATCATATTTATACTCACAGAGACACCTTAGACTCAGGACAAATACACAGGTGTGTACACATGTACACACACACACAAGGCAGAGCATAGCTAAATCATCAGCATCCTTGTGGTAGAAAGGCACGAGAACATTCCATCAAGGGAATCAGTCACTGTTGGAAAGTGGGCAGATCCTTGGTGACTTGATCTATGAATCAGCTCTCTCCCCTTGTCAGGCCCAGAAAGGAATGGAGTAGTTGGAGCATGGTATCATCAGCCTGAGCCCCATTTCTCTATCGATTCCCCCAGTGACAAATGAAATGCAGGGGAAGAGACTCTCAATGGTGAGAGGGAGGGCAGAGCAGCCAGGCCACCATGAATGATTTACCCCTCTCTTCGCACCCTGGTGTCAGCCTAGAACTCTGCGAGCCATCTCCTGGGTAAGCCCAGAGAGACTGGAGCTGGACAGGGAGCCCGATCAAGGCTAAAAATAGCTTACTACTTCTCTGCTCTGACCTCAGCCTGGGCCTGAGATGAGGCTTTCATGGCAAATTATGGATTTAAAACTGGCAATGAATCTCCATTACAGCATGAAATGAGAAAGGAAAATGCCATTAAATGGAAGCCTTCCCTCCAGCAGCCAATAGGGTGAGAGAGGATGTAGTTTGGGGAGGGAGTTTGGAGACAAAGTTACACGACCCACATGATACTCATGGAAGCCAGGAGCAAGGAGATAGGGGACCTGGAAGAGCAGTCAGGGGCCCTAACCCAGGTGGGATAGGACACCACCAAGGCAGAGGATGCAATGCCCACCAGCCAGGAGCCAAGGCCTAGATGTGGTCAGTTCTCCGTAGAGAAAAGGTGCACTGCTACTTGCCAGAGACCCCTGCAACAAGTCTCTAGTCCCCACCTGCCCGGTGTGTGATGCAGGCCTGAGAAAAAAATACACTAAGAGACAGAACTAAGAGAGAGAAAGCAGGGTGCCAGGGCGACCAATGCTGGTGTAATGAACAAAGGCACTGGC